GCTCGATAAAAGTTTTGTTTTCAATTTTCAGCCTTGAAACTTCCTTCTTCAACTGGTTGGCCAAACATGTTAAAGCCTTCATTTGAGCTTGCATTGAGTTGACATCCTCCAACACATCCATTAATGTAAATGTAGGTTGGTGTTAATCTTCAAGTAGCTCCAAAATCACCTCTTTCGCTCGACCGGAGAATTTCGTATCAACCCATTCGAAATATTTGCACTTTGAGCATTCTTTATACCTGGCGCATCCATTGAATCGTTTCCCGGGATTTAACCGAGTCCAAGATGTTCTTCTTGGACTCGGTAACCATAATAACAGTAACACTCACCATGTAGTTCACTTTGTTGGGACGAATGTGAGCTGCTGTATAAGCTCCTGCCATCCATTTACAAGATTGAGCTAGTAATTTTGGGAGCAAACTGAAATAGATGCTCAAATTTGCCAGTTAGGGTTTTCAAATTGGGGTTGTCTTTCAATTTGGGAATTTAGGGTTCTTATTTGGGGGAAATCCGCTGAACGACGTTGTTTTTATTGTTGACATGTTGATTGGACCTCCAACGACCCACGTCGGCTTCAAAAATTAATAAAAAAAGGCCACGTCAGATTTCCGGCCAATTAGATCAGAGTTGGCACTTAAGTGATCGTTTTTAAAAAAATTTGGCACTTAAGCGATTCAAAAGAAACTTTTGGCACTAAAGTGATCGCCGTACATAATTTTTGGCACTTGTAGTGTTCTTCTCCCGGTAACAGGTTAACACAAGAGCGTTTTCAACGCTATAAGGAAACCGTAAGAAGGTACTTTAGCTTAGTATTAGATAAAGTATGTGAAATGGGAAAAAATTTGATCCAACCAATTGATCAGCAATTTAGGGAAGTTCTTGAGAAGATCAGAAATAATCGGAGATTTTATTCATATTTTAAGGTATGTTTAGATTATACAATAGAAAGGAATAACTAAATATAAATTTCAATTATACAATAATATTTAGGTTTTTGTTTCAGGATTGCATTAAAGCTATTGATGGCACGCATATCCTAGCGGTGGTACCTTTGTACGATCATATTCATTTTATTGGTCGAAAATGAATACCAACTGAAAATGTATTAGTGGTGTGTAATTTTAACATGGAATTTATTTATGTTTGGGCTGGTTGGGAGGGACAAGCTCATGATACTCGTATCTTGGGATAATGACACTAGGAGTACCATAATTTTCGTACGGCGCTCACCTGAGTGCCATAACTTTTTTTTGACTCACTTGAGTGCCACATCGGAGTAAAATAGATTATTATTATTATTATTATTATTATTTTTTGTTTTTTTTTTATGACCCAGGAACCCCTCGCACGGCCGACAGTCGGAGGGGTAAACCTGGGGTGACGCTAGCGCAGGACCCACCACCACGGCGCCACACTTAAGAATCCCTAACGACTACGCCGGGTTCGAACTCCGATCCCTTCGTGGGGGGACAAGAGCGCAAGCCAACGTAGCCGCTGCGGGCGGTGGTAGTAAAATAGATTATTTGAGTGCCACTTCCGGCGAAAAATAGATCATTTGAGTGCCATTTTCCGGCAAATGAGCCGACGTGGATCTTTTTAATGTTATTTTATTTTATTTTTAAAATTTTTATTTTTCTCTCCAGATCTGGTGAGGCCGCCTCGCATGTAGCGGTGGAGGTTTTCGCCAGATCTGGCGAGGCTGCCTAGCCCGCGGCCGGCGAGACGGCCTTCGCAGCCTCGCCCACCGCCGGCGAGGCCGTGATGGCCTCGCCCAAGGCCTTCGGGCCAAGGGCATGGCGGTCCGCGAGGGTTATCGGTGACCCTCGCTGGAATTGAAATTTTTTTTTTGCAAAAATAAAAAAATTAATAATAAAAAAAATTCAAAAATTCAAAAAAATATTAAAATATTGTCAACGTCAGCTTCGGCGAAGCCACATCAGCTTCAACAAAGCCACGTTAGATTTTCCGGCTGCCAAATGCAATTTGGCACTCAAGTGATCACTTTTTTAAATTTTTAGCACTCAAGTGAGCCAAAATAAAGTTATGGCACTCAAGTAAGCGCCGTACAAAAGTTAAGACACTTATAGTATCCTTATCCCCTCATATATTCTATGAAGCCCTCGGAAGATGTGATTTACAATTTCCTCATCCTCCTCCAGGTTCGTTATTAATGGCTTTTGTGCATTAGAGCATTCGTATGTATCAATATCGTATATGTTGATTAAATTTACATAATATTTGTGTAGGTAAATATTATTTAGTAGATACCGGATATTCAAATCAAACAGGTTATTTGGGGCCATACAAAGAAGTTAGATATCATTTACCAGAATTTCGACAAGGTCCTACACCTTCAAGTTATCGGGAACTATTCAATTGTCATTATTCCTCGCTAAGATCAGAAATTGAGTGAGCTTTTGGTGTATTAAAGAAGAAGTGGAAGATTCTTACGCATATGCCAAGTTATCCATTTGAGAAGCAAGTGAAAATTGTTATAGTAGCAATGACGTTGCACAATTATATACGAAGAAACGTCATCAATGATAAATATTTTGTAAGAGCAGATTTGGATCCCAATTGTGGATATTCAGTTGATCTTGATGATGTGAATGACGGGGCTAGTGATTCAAATGATAATTTATTTTCTGACATGGCATATTTACGTGATCAAATAGTCATGAGTTTAGTAAATACTTAAGTATGCTTGTAAATTTCAATGATAATCTATTTTTTTCCTCGATGCACATGTGACAATGTTTATTATAATTAAATTACTCTCTTTTTGCAAAGATGTGGTTTATTTATTTATTAATTTGTTAATATATATCTTTTACATTACTCTAAACGCGAAAATATAAAAGTTACGGTCATTATTTTTTTTCAATTTTAAACAAATTAAAATTTAAAAACTTAAATTGGTCAAACCAAAGGACTTCCTCAAATATATATTTACTAGACAACATTTCCCCAAAGTTGTTTCCCAAGGCACTTTTCAATTACAGTTTACCAAACAGTATTTGCATTTCACAAAAACCCTTTAAACTAAAGGCCTTTGCTTTTCTCCGAATGCTTTCGTCAAAAGCCTTCCCAAACGCAGCCTAAATATCAACCAATTTCCAATGTTTTGCTTTGAATTTGATCATCACAAAACAATCTTGAAAGATTGAAGATTAGTAATTTCCAATAAAGTAATCCAAGCTAGATCACTAGCCATTGCATTGTATATATATCGTTGAGTCTAACAAAGTCTGAAATGTTGAAGTTTGATTCTGAGTTCTTCTTATGTCCAAATATGTAAAGTCTGAATATCATAAAAAGCCTTGATAATATCAAGCGCTTCCCTTGATGGATTCTTCATATTGCTTTAAGAATATTCTTGACATATATTGATGATGTGTGCGAATACTTTGAACCGTGAATAAGATACTCAGAATCTAAATATTGTTTTTCCATGAATATCACCTGAAATTATTTAAGTCAGATTCAATAGAAATTTATGGAATATTTTGTCAATCTTCAAAACATATTAGGAGGTTTTCTCAACATTATTTTTATTTTTTTATTTTATTTTTTCTTTTCTTCTCTTTTCCTTCTTTTATTTTATTTTAACTGTGGCTAATAAGGGCTCGAGGGTTGGCCGACCCTCTTTGGCCATTGGGTGAGGGCCGCGAAGCCCTCGTCGATCACTGGCGAGGGTCGAAGCCCCCTCCGACAGCGGGGGAGAGCATCCCGGCCCTCACCAGCAAGAGTTGTAAAAAGAAAATAAAAAAAATAAAAATTTAAAAAAAGTTCAAAAAATATTAAAATATTATTAAAAAAATTTACTTCGGTGCCAGCTGCGCCATATAAGACGGTTGGTGTCTGCTTCAGCAATTTCTGGCCAAAATTGACCGGACGGACTCAGTTGGCCAAACATGAAAGTGTTTATGACTGAATTGGCAAAATTGAAATGTTTACGACTGAATTGGCAATAATTTAATAGGTTTAGGACTTTTTGGATAATTTTCCTCTTACATGTGTGGGGTTTTTACCTAGTATTCATGAACAACAGAGTATCGGAAGAGCTGATAATATATTGAAAGTAATATTATGAAGAAAGTGTTTTTGAAAGTTCAAGAACATTTGAACCCCGAAGAGTTATTAGCATTAGAGATACGTAACACAAGACCGTTCGAATAGGAAATAATTGACTAAGATCAACAGCAATTTCCTTTTTCTTTGAGAGTACTTCATGTTTGTAATTTTTAGGCTGGAAATAGACTACATCTCTCATATATTGATCGTCTCATACTGATTCTTTCGTAATTTTGTGGCGATTTAGAACGCGAACTTCAAAGTACATGCGCATAGAAGGATCCTACTCTTAAAATTTGTTGGGCTTGAGACCATTGATGTCAAAGGGTCAATGAGCGCCACTTTCCTGGTGAGCTCGCCATAGACTCGAGACAGATAGGTCATTTGATTTGGGTCAATTCACATCATTCGATTGTCGTTGACTCCGAAGACTTGAAAAGAAGACGCGGGAAGAGACCGCAGAAATGATATTACGCGGTTGGCGGTGCAAAGGAAACTCATCTGTTAGCAATTTTTTGGTGGAAGAGAAGTTCGAATTGATTTGGTTTTGATTCATTTCGTTCAATTGTTATTGACTCTGAAGACTTGAAAAGAAGACATGGGAAGAGGCCGCAGAAATGGGCATTGCGCTTTTGGCTGTGCAAAGGAAACTTCTCTTTTAGCATCTTTATTAGAAGAAAAGTTGGAGAAAATTCTAAAAAGTTCGGGAATCTTCTCTTTTAGCATTTTTTATTAGAAGAATGTTGGTATTTGGTCTTCTGTAGTAGTCTTACTTAATAATTTTTGAACGACCTCTTGTGGACTTTAACATGAGGTCTTCTCTAGAACTTTCACACCATAAAGTCCGTGAAAATGGATAAGGTCGGACTCTAGATAAACACCATTAGACTGGGTTGTTGAGCAAGTTTTACGACCAATTTGAGAGAGAGAGAGAGAGAGAGAGAGAGAGAGAGGAGCGAGTCAGGAGGCAACAAAGAGCTAAGAGCAAGCTAAAAGACCAGGCTTTCTAAATTGAAGATGGCAATGTGCTGGCTTGCCACGGGCAGAGGTACTTGACTATATTTTTTGTCTTTTGCTTTCAAACTATTACAAATTTTATTTGGCTATAATGCCAGAACAAAAAATGGTTCAGATAAGACCTTTCTACGTTTTCGAGCATTCATGAATTTATATATACACAGATGCGGATCTTCTGGTTAATAGTGCTTATGAAGAGTTCATCTATTTAACCAGATTAAATACCTTGGTTGTATTTTAGGATGGATTTGGCAATAGGATTAGTAAGCACTTAACTTCAGAGCGAGTATGTGACTTTTCCTCAAATTATTTCCATACATATGAAACAGTTTATCTCATCGATCTTTTTAGCTTCCTTCTTTTCAAAATTTTTATAACACGGGGATCCAAACCTTTGACGCAACTAGTATACACTTAAGCTCATAAATGATAAACCGCTTTGTGCACGTTTATTAAAGATGATCTGCTCATAGGGTGATAGTTGTGGTGTGGCCCGGAAGTCATTCTGCTGCATCGACTTTGCAATTCGAGCACAGAATTTGCTGCGTCGCATCTTATTTGTCCAATTGCTGCACATTTGGGACGAGCCATTTAATAACCTTCTATCTCCTAAAATAATCAATTGTGTTCGAATGGTTGTTTTTGGCAGAACCAGCTAAATACAAGAGAGCTCTTCCACCAGCTCATTTTTCATTGAAGATTGAATCATTTTCCGCATTATCAAGTTTGGACAAGGACAAGTATGATTCCGAGGTATTCAAAGCTGGGGGCTATAGATGGTGAGCTTTTGATTTCCCTTTTTTTTTGCCCTTCCATACATATTTTTATCTAACTAGATCCTCATATTTTTTGGAACCGCAACTTTAATGCTTAATCAAATTAACTGCTAAATAAACGCTTCTTTTCAGGAGCCTATCTCTTTACCCTAATGGAAACAAGAAAGATAATGGATCGGGATACATTTCCCTCTATTTGTCCATCGAGGAGAGAGATAAACTTGCTGACGGGCTGAAGGTTCACATCAACTACAAGCTTTTTGTGTACAACAAGTCACGAAAGGAGTACTTGACCATCCAAGGTTGATAATCACATAATTCATAATCGATGTTTATGAAGTCACAATTCCGATTACATAATCATAGTTCAGAATTAACAACATAATTATATCAATTTGTGGAAATCTGTGTAGATGCTGAGGGGGCAGTGAGCAGCTTCCACCGCTCGAAGACCCAACGCGGGTTTCCTCGGTTTCTTTCCTTGAAAAAATTAAAAAAAGATGGATACCTTGAAGGGGACTCTTGTACATTTGGGGCTGAGGTTTTTGTCATCCAACCTGCCCAGCTGAGGGAGGAGTCTTTTACCTTGACCAAATACCCGACTCAAAGAACACACACATGGAATATCCAAGGCTGGTCCACATTGGGCACACGTCGCCATTCCAACGAGTTTACCATCGAAGGAAGGCAATGGTACATTCCCAGAACGAAAAAGTTTGCAAAAATGAAATTTAACTACTTGCCTTTTACCTTTCTAAATTCATTTATTTATTTTTTTGCTTGTGTTTGTAAATAGAATTAGCTAGAACTTACAAGTTTTTACCTGTAATTGTTGTGTGTAGGAAGTTATTGGTGGATCCCAAAGGCAATACCGACAGTAAGGAAAAGTCGATGTCCGTTTACTTAGAAGTGCAACGCCTTACTGGGAAGATGAAAGTGTATGCGGAATTCAGCTTGCGTGTGTTGGACCAACTCAAAAATAAACACAAGGACCATGAATGTATGTTTTTCTTTTTATCTTTGTCACAGGTGTAAACTTTTACTTTTTTGGTTTTTACTTAATTTAAATCTCGCGAGACACATTCTTTGACTCTTTATTTACACAAAACACCCAAAGATATTACAACATGCAAATGTTGGCACGTGAATTCACATATAACATTTTCATAGTTTTTTGAAATTTGAATGTTATAAATTTGGCAAGAAAGAAAGAATAATTTTTTTTATATTTTTGCTTAATCCAAAATTTACCAGCATATGCAAACGCATATAAGCATTACCAGTTAAAATCACATCAAGTTTTTCAAGATCTTTTTATAAAATGAATATCACTATAATTTTATGAGAAAATTCTAAATGTCTTTTTTGGAAATGGCGCAAAGCCCATCTACATATGACTTCTCAAACTTTTGAGGACCATAGCAACAATTCACACATGCATGTGTATATCTTCTATTGAAAGAACATAATGCTCTCTCTCTTCGTGAGTCCGAATTGAATAGGAGTATAATAAGTAATTTTTTTTGGGGGGGGCATTGCAGTTAAATGCTGGCTAAGTGCCTCACATCCCAGAGGGGGAGATGCAGACTTTATGTCCTTGAAGGATCTCCGAAAAGGGTTCGTTTCCAATGATACTCTGATAGTTGAAGTCCAGTTTCGCGTCATATCAGCCAAACCAATCTTAAAGCTTGTAGGAGTTTGATGACTTACTTCAATATTTATTGTGCCAGAATAGATTCCTTGAGAATAGTGTGTACTGAGCATAAAGCATTGGAATTGGTACCCCCAACACCATGTGGATTTTGTGTTCCTAATTTAGCTTCTTATTTGATTATTAGATGGAATATTGAGAGTGAACTCTTAACAAATATATTATGCTCTGGATTTTCAGAGAAAGAGAATCCCTTAAGAATATTTAAAATATATTATGCTCTGGCTTCTTTCATTTTTCCAATATACGAATAGTGAGAGTGAACTCTTAACAAATCATATAATAATCTATTAAGACATTAATTCTTACCCGTATTTTTCTTTCCTGATCCTAGCATATAAAGCACTTGCTTTCTTTGAGACTAGAGAATATGGCCAGATATACGTTCTTCCCTGCACTTGATCAATTTTCTTTCTACATTCTTTTTATTTTTTTATTTTTTTTACAACCAACAGAATCGACTCCTGGTCACTTGCCGCCTTTAAGCACACGCACCAATTGCTTGCCATGTGACAAAGGATTTCGTGATATTGCTTCTCAAATTTGCCTCAAAATTTCTTAAGATTGAATTAAGATAATATCAAGTTCAATTACCAATTTTCCACCATGGCATTAAATCGGCCCTTTCCTCTGATGTCCCATGGGCTCGTCTAAAAATTAATGTTCTTATGGGCTTAATCCATTTGACTCAATTAGATTCTCTCGCTGTCGGTATGATGCAACTAATTAATAAATGCTCTTAAAACTATATGCCATGTAATTTATATTTTTTGTTTAGGGGTTCCATGTAACTATTCCTAAATGGTGCGCCAAAATTTAGGTGTCAACACTATGTCAAACTTATATAACATTCAAATTTCAAAGAATTATGAAAATGTTATAAATGCGAATTTATGTAACTTTCTCAAACCCTATGGAGAGCTTATTGCACATGCATGCACGTAAAATGGTAGTGAACACGTGAGGTTCTTTATTGTCAAAATAGAGAGGGAGGTTATGTATTTGTTACACACCAATTTTCTTTTCCACTCTTTCCTCCACTCAATGAGATAGACTCCGTTACATTTAGGAACATCATCAATTTTCTTGTACCCTTTTTCTCCGCTTAATGAAAGGGACTCGGTTCCATTTATGAACATCATCAATATGCTGTTCCGGGACCCCCCAAGTCATGAATTAAATCAATTGATATAAATTATTCGGTAATGACAATTCCATGATCGTGCGACATCATTTTCTCATAAAAGAGCGACCTTTGGTATTGCTATACGCACTGCCATAATTTTTCCATCTCCTCTACATCAATTTAGGCTCTCCTCATGCTCAAACCTCTCTCGTTTGGTTTTGCATTTTTAGGGGGCTAAAATGGCAGATGAGTTTCTTTATGAACATAGCACAACGTTGGATATTCTTAAATGCAGTTCTTCTTTTTGTCGACAATTCTTACATGCAGTTCAGCTTGTGGGAAAATAGAAAAAAAAACGGAGATGTAGTTGAGCTGTCTAGCCGAGTGCCTATATAAAGTACGTAGCAGAAAGATAGGGTTGCACGTCAGTTATTATAGAATTTTGAGAGTACTGGCCAACGTGTCTTTTAATCAGACTTGGGTCTGGCAAAACCACCACCCCCTTGACAATTGAAGAACCTCAGCTTTTTGACGAATGGAGAGTTTAAAGTTAGTAAATGCGATAATAGATTATGGGTCGTAACACCTTACAAAACTACAGAAATCGCGGGGAGAAAGTCTTATCTTTTGGATTCAGGGAAAAAATTATGCTCCCAGCTTAAACTTCAAGGTCATAGCAGAAGAAAGTTGCGATAATTAAAGTATTTTGTAATGACTCGAATCTCAACTTTCCATCATAACTAGTTTTCAATAATCCCGTAATTTGTACGAGATACATTTTAAAATTGTTCTATTGAAAAAGGATGGCAAAAAAAGATCATTTAGAAAATTTTACTTGTTGGTATTCACTTGTTGGTATCTGTACATTTGCAAAGTGTAATTTTACTTTACCGTTGACAAACTGAAAAAAACGCTCATTAGGTTGTTTGCTAAGGAAATTGATTTGGTTTTTACATACCTCAGAGTTGTATTCCTGTCTACTTTAGTTTTTCCATAGGCTTTTGAAAGTGAGAAGTGATATTTCCTCAATCCAAAAGTTTTGTTCCACACGGTTTTCAAATTGCATGTTTTGGTTAGATTAATTTGCCCTTAATTGCTCATTCACGATATCCACGAAAATTCTTGAAATACTGAAAAAGATAAAAGATATTCTCGAGTAAGTAAAACTTACCTTTTTCTTTCTTCCATGATAAAAAACCTACTCCACTTTCCATGGCATTTGTACTCGGTTCATGGAGTTGCTTCTTATGTGCGAAACTCTTTCCTCAAACTTGTTCCCAATGTTAATATGAACCTAAAAGGAGTCCATATATGTGGAGCCTGAGACTTTTAGTCGATGTATGTTGCGACGCATCAGACTTTCCTCGAAAGGGGGAAAATGGCGTAGCCTGGTAGGCGCTAAGTTTAGGTCTGGGACTTAACTCGAGTTCTCCCAAGCCCATATCATATCGCGACTTGTGGTTTAGGTTTTTAACCTGCAAGTAATTTTTATCTAAGAGTCGCCACTAATCAATTTAGGGTGGGTAAATTAGAAACCCAAGTAAGATGACGGGAGAATTACCCCACTCCTACGAACCAGAGATTAAATGAGTTCGGGGACTTAGTTACACTAGTTGGGTGACTAGTGCCCTTTCGGTACCTTTTTATCCTGTTCATTTCAGAAAATATCTGTTAGACAATTTGGATTGATTTCAGGACTTGTCTCCTAACACGTGAGGTGATCAAGCGAATGCACAATTATTAACGATTAGCAGTCAAGATAAACATGCAGCCTAAAGTTCTAACATTAACTGAGGTGACAACATTCAAAACATGACAATTTATGCAATTATATTCTAATTAAAAGCAATATGCATAATAATATTACAACATTAGTAAAGATAACACACGAAATCCTACCCTGAGGTGTTTGTCATCCAACCTGCCCAGCTGAGGGAGGAATCTTTTACCTTGACCAAATACCCGACTCAAAGAACACACGCATGGAATATCCAAGGCTGGTCCACATTGGGCACACGTCGCCATTCCAACGAGTTTACCATCGATGGAAGGCAATGGTACATTCCCAGAACGAGAAAGTTCGCAAAAATGAAATTTAACTACTCGCCTTTTACCTTTCTAAATTCATTTATTTATTTTTTGCTTGTGTTTGTAAATAGAATTAGCTAGAACTTATAAGTTTTTACCTGTAATTGTCGTGTGTAGGAAGTTATTGGTGGATCCCAAAGGCAATACCGACAGCAAGGAAAAATCGATGTCCGTTTACTTAGAAGTGCAACGCCTTACTGGGAAGAAGAAAGTGTATGCAGAATTCAGCTTGCGTGTGTTAGACCAACTCAAAGATCAACATAAGGACAAGGAATGTATGTTTTCCTTTTTATCTTTGTCACAAGTATATCTGGATTGACTTTTACTTTTTTATTTTACTTAGTTTGAATCTCACGAGACGCATACTTCAACTCTTTATATACACAAAACACCCAAAGCTATTACAACATGCAGATGTTGGCACGTGAATTCACATATAACATTTTCATTATTCTTTGAAATTTGAATATTAAATAAGTTTGGCATAGAAAGAAAGAAGAACTTATTTTTCTTTATTTTTGCTTAATCCAAAAAAATGGGCTGATGCGAATACACATAAGTATTACCATTTGAATTCACGTCAAATTTTTGTTGGAAATATGGGATAAATTGATGGGTGAATGAATGAGAAATTGATGCTCAAAGAACACCCTTGAGTTGGAAGTGGGAAATTATTCGTATTGATTTTATAACGGCAGATTTAATCGTCCGTTATTCGTATTGATTTTGTAACGACAGATTTAATCAATCGTCCGTTATTCCCGAATTGCTCTCCCCTCTGTTCCTTTTTATCGAAATCATTCTTCCTCTGGTTTTACACTCTCTCGGTCGCGATTGCAATTTCGTTTCTTTACAATTCTGTATTGTTTGTAATATTTATGCTAATGCCGATTTGAATTTTTCGCAACAATTTTCAAGGTCTTTTTATAAAATGAATATCACTTTAAATTTATGAGAAAATTCTGAATGGCTTTTTGGAAGGGGCTCAAACCCCATCTCTAAAACTCAAACTTTTGAGTACCCATAGCAACAATTCACGTATGCATGTGTATATCTTCTATTGAAAGAACATAATGCTTTCTCTCTTCGTGAGTCCGTACTGAGTAGGAGTATAATAAGTTATTTTTTTGGTGGGGTCATTGCAGTTAAATGCTGGCTAAGTGCCTCACATCCCAGAGGGGGTGATGCAAACTTTATGCCCTTGAGGGATCTCCTGAAGAAATCGGGAAAAGGGTTCGTTTCCAATGATACTCTGATTGTTGAAGTCCAGTTCAGCATCATATCAGCCTAGCCAATCTTAAAGCGTGTGGGAGTTTGATGGCTTAGGGTGTGCATGGCAACGATTATGTGCCCGAAAACTGATTCTGTTTAAAAATGATTCTTTTTTATTCCGTGCCCGGGAATAATTTCTAAGCATTTGAAGGCATTTGGTAACTGTCCAAAATTTCTATTCTTAGAATAGAAAAAGAACAGAAATGCATTTGGTAACTACACAAAATTTCATTTTATTAATAATATTTTGAATTTTTCAATATTTCTTTCTCTTTTTTTTTTTTTCCTTTTTTTCTTTCTTTCCTTTCCCTTCCTTGGCCATGGCTAGCGAGGGTGTCGCGGCCCTCGCCGCCGCCCTCACCGGTCGTGACGGCGAGGTTGGCCTCTCCTTGGCTGGGCAAGGCTCGACCTCGCCCAGATCTAGCGAGGCCGACCTCACCTTGGCTGGACGAGGCCTCGTCGTCGCGGTCGCGAGCCGCCCTTGCCCAGGCGGTGAGGGCCGCGACGCCCTCGCCGGCCTTGGCCTGTGGCTGGTCGCCGACGGCAGGCCGAGAAGAAGAAGAGCAACAAACCAAAAAAAAAAAAAAGAAAACCAAGAAGAATCAGAAATGGAAAAATTGTTCCAAAATCAAGAAGCTACTATTTTTTGCTTCTTGATTCTATTCCAAAACTGATGCTGGGAACAATTTTTTGCAAAATTGTGCTCGGGTACAAAAAAATTTAACAAATGGATTTCTGTTCCTAAATTGATTCTGGAAATAAAAGGACAGAAATTTTTACTATTTGGCAACTTGCCAAACGGGCCCTTACTTCAATATATACTGTGTCAAAATAAATTCCTTCAGAAAAGTGTGTACGACCAGATAGCATTGGAATTGGTACCCCCAACACCATGTGAATCTTGTGTTCCTAATTTGGCTTCTTGTTTGATTGTTAGATGTAATCTTAAAGCTTTTGAATGAAAATGCAATCAAGTTTTCACGCCCTTGTCTTAATTGAATTTCTTGACATAGCAATCCAGTTATCGTTGGCTGTCCTACGTGTAGGTTGGGTATGGTGTATATTACTAATTTCATTTGGAAAATTGCCCAAAATTCGTCATCTTATGAACTTAACTTATACTTATGGTTGTTAGACTAAGTAGATGTGCTTCAAATGTATATTGAAAAGTTAGAGGATCTCCAACTCAGGAACTTGAAGTTAATGATTGAGTCCCACCAACTGTGCAAGGGTCAGGGCCATCGACATAAGGCATAAGTCTAGACTTAATCGATTCATGAGTCTGAGTCTTCAAGTAGTCATAGGAGTGTAAAAAATGCCAAATTTGACCGAATCGAACCGAACTGAAAATTGCAGGTATTTTCGGGTCGGCTCTCTTAAATGTTTGTTTAATATGTATAAAAGCCAGTTGTCATCAGTGTTTCGGTTCGGGTCGGGCAGAAGCCCAAACCGAACACTAAGAATACTAAGGTGCGCATGGCAACCATTCGTGCCCTGGAATGCATTCTTGCAAAATGATTCTTTTTATTCCAGAGCCGATTATGAGCATTTGAAGGCGTTTGGTAACGGCCCAAAATTTCTATTCCTAAAATAGTAAAAGAACAGAAATGCGTTTGTAACGCATAAAATTTCATTTTATTAATAATATTTTAATAATATTTTAATATTTCTTTCTTTTCTTTTTTTCTTCTCCTCCTTCTTGGCCATGGCCGTAAAATATTTTTCAATTAATAATAATTTTATTAAAAATAATTTTTTATTTTTTTGGCCATGGCCGGTAAAAATTTCTTTATTAATAATACTTTTATTAAAAAATAATTTTTTATTTTTGGCCATGGCCGGTAAAATTTTTTTTATTAATAATATTTTTTTCTTTTTTTGTGCCCAAAATCAAAAAATTTAACAAACGGATTTCTGTTCCAAAACTGATTCTGGAAACAAAAGAACAAAAATTTTCACTATTTGGCCAGTTGCCAAGCAGGTCCTAAATGCTCGCTCAAAAATAGGCTTCGGAATCCAATTTCTTTTAATCTCAATCAAATCTCGCAAGTTTCTCCTCCTCTCCTCGCATGTTCTCTCTCTACTCGCAAGTCTTTCCTCCAGGTAACATTGAAAATTTGCACGTCCCCTCCAGATCCTACTAAGTTCATCTCCAACGTTGCCTCCGTCCTTTGATTGACTCTCCTCCCCATCGCCATTCTTCACTACATCATCGTCGTCATCCTCCTCTTCTTCAGGTCCGTCTTCATTTTCGTGTCCAACGTTGATGAGGATCTCCAAGAGAAACCGCAGTCGTCAGATTCGACGGTCCAGGTCCGAGAACTGAGTCGAGCCTCAGGTTTGCTGGGATTCCAGTTTAGAGTGTTGGATTCGAAAGTTTTTGGTGTGGTGAGTTCTTTCGTTGGCTGTAGCTCCCTGTGAAGATCTGGTGTTTTGTTTGCTTTCTCTGATGTCCAATGTTTGCTCAACCTAGAAGCTCTGCATCCTGTTGGTGTTCTGGATAGTGTTTTGAGGAATTGGAAAATGGCCATTCAATCTGTGAAGTTGGGAAGCAGAAGGGAAGAAGAAGGAAAAAAAGGCAACCGTGTCGCCCGCCCATGAGGTGGGAATTGTACCTCGGGGCTGTTTTATTACTCTTCGCCGATGCGGTCGCATCGCCTTGTGGGACATGAATTAGCACTAATATTACCAAGAGCCGCCCTACATCAGCTTAATTAGCAGTAGCAAGATCATGAGAGGACCTTGTAAGTTTCGCACATCAAACGAATGTGAGCACACTTCACAAATAACATGAATTTATTCATTCCTTTCTTCGATGAGAGCATTCGCCCTTGGTCCCCCACTTTTAAACTGAAGCGAAAGATTCCATCTTAGAAGTCGAGATAATGACTTTTCTCAAAGAGTGCCTATAATACAGGCTTTACGTAGTAAATCTCCGTGAATAGATGACCAAATGCGATAGATCTTCCGTAAATAAGAAAACCGGAGTGCTATAAATGCCGTATTATTATATCATCCAAAAGTATCGAAGCCGTGAGATATCATCCAAAAGTATCGAAGCCGTAGCCTCGGTCAATTTCGTTCAACTCTGAGAGAGAGAGAGAGAAAAAGGGATAGATCATTTGGTCAGGTTTTGTTCATTTCATTGAATTGACTCCGAAGACTTGAAAAAAAGGCACGGGAAGAGGCTAAACAAATGACATCGCGCTCTTGGCCGTGCAAAGAACTTCTCTTGCAATTTTATTAGAACAAAAGATGGGGAAACTTTTCCTTTGAACATTTTCTTTTGGTCAAATCATTTCGACATTCACACGGGAGGATTTGATGAGCCCGATAAATAAATTAAGAAAGTGGGAAAGTGAAATATAAGAATTGCCGAATAGCGTCATTGGTACGAATCCAAACTCTAGGACATCGTCACGTGCTTTCACGCGTCTCTTTGATTATATTATTCCGTCAATATGTAATTGACAATTGACGACAGCACAGCATCACGTTCTTTTGTGTGAAACACAATTTCATTCCTCGTACTGATTTTCGATTAGACAATATTTACGCGTTACGACTACGAGGTCTTTTTTTATAATTGTTCGAATACTTCCACCGAGAGAGAGAAAGAGAGTGAGTAAATAATAAATCACTTCAGTTTGTCCCTTTCAAAGTGACATTATCATTTCTTGTGGTGATTTTCTATTATAAAATAAGGTTAATACCATGAAAACTCCTAAATTGATACATTTATGTTAAATTTATCTAAAATAAATTTTTTTATCATCAAAAACTTTAAACTAGTATACCTATTAGGGGTGTACAAAAGAATTGGGAACCGCCCAGAACCGGACCGAACCGGCCCGGAACCGGCGGTTCTCATGGGGATCGGTCTGGTTCCCGATTCTAATTTCTTGAAACCGGTGGGTACCAATCTGATTTCCAGTTCCGGACGTGGAACCGACCGCCCACCCACCCGGATCGGACCGGTACACATGTATATGTATATTTAAATTTAAGATTTCAAGGACTAGACCCTCTCTCTCCAATTAAAACAACACTCTCTCTCTTCTCTGTGTCTTGCACGATCAACCATCGGCTGTCTCCACTTTCCTCTCTCTTCATGTAATGCGGCACTCTCTCTCCTCTCTTTTGCGTCCATCTCTCTCTCCACTTTTCTATCTCTCTTTTCAAACTCCTGCATCCCTCTCTCTCTTCAATTAATAGCACCTCTCTCTTGTAAGATCTCTCCTCTCTCTCTAAACAAAGCTACGTTCATGGCGATTTCTTCATTCTCACTGAGTCAAAGAAAACAATTTCTCCGTTCTTGATTTCTGAATATACCTCACCATTTACGTCCATTATCTTTCACAGCCTCGTTGGAGCGAATCACCTCGAACCACTACCCTTTCGTAAAACCCGACTCTCGCTCCCCCTCTCTCCCCACCCTCCACTCCCGTTGCCGTACTCATCTCACCCCTCGTCTCGCCCTCTCCCACCTCTGCTCCACCCCACTCAACGACCTGTGCCCGCCCTTCCTCCGCAACTCCCTACCCTCCTCCGCCTCCCCGGCCGGTTCCATGGATCCACCTGGGAACCGGACCGGACCGGTGGTCCAGTTCCCGGATGGGTCTAGAAACTAGTGGGCGGTTCCCGGTTCTAGGGTGGGAACCGCCCGCCCGGACCATGCTCACCCTTAATACCTATGGTAAATTTATCTCAAATTAATTTTTTGACCATAAAAAACTCCAAATTGATACATTTGTGACAAATTTACCCTCTGTTAGTTTCCGTTAAACAAATTAAAAGTTCATTAATTATATTACATATTGAAATAAAATTCATGAATCACATTGACCCACGTGAGGATTTGATGAGCCAAATAATTAAATCAAAAAGGGGAAAAGTATTATAATAATCGCCTTGAAGAAAGGGATTCTTCAATATATTCAATGAGAGAGAGATCTCAAAGAAAGCTTCTCTTTTGGCGTTTTTTTTCCTTTGAAAAGTCGGTATTTTGTATCCTCTGTTAGTGAGAGAGAGA